AGCTGAAGGAGCGCGGGAGCTGTGCCAGCACCGCGGCTCTGCCGGGCACCACCACAGCCAGGGGGCCTGGCAGGAGGGCTCGGCCACCGCAGAACACACGTGGGAGGACAAGGGGCAGCAGAAGACGACAGCCAGCAGCATTCTGGGCCTGAGTGCTGCCTGGGTTCCCAGGATCCTTGTTCACGCCGGAAGGTTTGGGTTAGGAGGAGAAGCTCTGAGCTCAGAGATTTTACCTGCCTTAAGATTCCTGCAGCCCTTGTTGTTCAGGTCTGTGTGGTGTTAGAAAGTTGGCAGTTACACACAGCAATCAATTAATTATCCTTTTATGCATCCCAACCTCCTCACCATCTCTGAAACGTGTCCTTGGCTCCTCCTGTGCCACGTGGATTGGCACAGAGGATGTATCTGAGTCCATAAGGAAGACAGGTTGTTGTGGAGGGGTGAAGTTTGTAAAGTTTGGCTCTTTGAGCTGCAGTGAAGCTCTGTTCCTAGTTGGAATGTCTGCTCTACTGCCATCCCAGATCTGGGCTTCAAAACCTCTTCCTTCAGCCAGCCCACCCTGGTTCTCTTCAGATTCTTGCCCTCCTCAGGGATTGTTTGTGATCACATGTTGTAGTTTAGGAATGGAATTCCCCAATTTACTGCTCCCCCTGAAACACTCCCAACCATGCTCATTCCCTCCCCCTGTGGTGGGATGGAGAAGAGAACTGGAGGCACAAAGGGTACAGATCAAGAGTTTAGATAAGAACAATTTACTGGGAACAGCAATGAGACAAGGAAACAAATAGTAACAGCAACAATATTAACAACAGATGGTACAAGAGAGGTGAAGAATTCTTACCCCCCTGACTAAAAGGCACCCCTTTCCCCCAGCCCCTCTGTGTGGCAGGAGGTAGTACAGAATAACTTCCTGGTCCTGGTCATGCCCCTCCTGGCTACTCTAAAAATTAACCCTGTCCTGGTTATTCCATCCCCAAAAGCCTGTTTTTGTGGTAAATGCTTTGTAGCCACTTTGCAGCAGAGGCTGTTGGTCTGGTTTGTCCATGCCAAGGTCCCAGCGCTGGCAGTGGCTGCAAGGCAGATGGTCCCCTGGAAGTGCACGAGAGAGAAGGAAGAGCTCAGGACTGTTGAGCTTCCCATGCCTGTGGCAAGCAGCAGAATGCCAGGGCAGCAGAGCAGGAACTGAGGGATGGCTCTGTCCCCCATGGGAGATGGGCACAAGAAACCACATCCCAGATGGAGCTGTGGTGCAAAGCTTTGGTCCTCCCCACTGCCTGCCTTTCATTGAAATAGTTCTGGCAGGGCATTCTTGTGTGGGCATTTTCAAAGGACAGGCAGTGCAGGAAGAGGTCCCTCCTGTGGGAGCTCAGAGTGACCACAGGGGCTCTGGTGACAGGGACTTTGGTGTAAAATGGTTGCCAGCAACTCTGTTCCCATTTATTACTGAGTCTTTTGGGGGGGGGGACAACAATGAAAACCCGAGGTCTGTGAGTGATGGCCTTGATGAGTTGAGAAAAGTCTCTTGGGGAAGAGGATGAAATTGTTCATTTGATTTTTGGACGTTGGTCCAAAAATAATGCCAAAATACAAAAATCCATTCTGGCTCCATCCTTTGAGCTGGTCACCCCTTCTGATGAGCTGCCTGAGGAGTCCCCTTGGGCAGGGTTGAGAGCTGGTCTGCCTGTGTAACAAGGACATTGCTCTGACTGGGGGGTCTGTGCCTCCTGGGACAGTTTTGTGGCACCCACTGTCCCAAACCAGGCAGGTATGGCCCTCTCTGCTGTGCCCCTGCCCCACTGGCAGCTCCTGTGTGCTGGGGGTGCTGCTTTCTGCTCACATTTAACTCTTAAATTCATCACAACACACTATTTTGTCATTTTTAGCAAATGCCATAGTGCACATGGCACCCAGTGCCAGCTGCAGGACAAGGCTGCAGGAGCTTCATCCTGAAGAATTTTGATGAGGTGGAACTAATTCTCCTAAGGCAGCATCCCTGGAAATTCCTCAGAATTTCTGGAGGTTGTGCTGGGAAGAGTATTCTGTGCTTTGTCTCTCATTCCCTGTCAGTGGAGGAATGGGGCCTCCTTAGCCTTGGCAGTGCCTCTAGCTGCATTATGCAGGTTTATCAATACTGTGTCCCTTGAATTTAAGGCAAAACCACCTCAAAAAACTCAGGGAAAGGGCCTGGGAGCACCTGGAGAGCAAGGGAAGCTCTGGCTCAGCAGTGCCTTAGAACTGGGTGGACTTCGCAGGACACAGCTGAAAGGAGACTACACAGATTTAGGTCTGGCTTTGCTCAGTCTTAAGAGTGGAAAACATGGGTTTGGAGGGGTTAAGATGGTACATCCAATAGATTGTAGTGCTTGGGAGCCTGGGAAAAGGGGAAAGATGGGGCAGTGTGTGAGTGAAGGAAAAGGAGAGGCCCCAGAAAAGGTGCTGCAGGGGCCCAGGTGTAAAGGCTTCAAGGGGTGTGAAAGCAGAAAAGGGGACACTGGGATGGGAATTTTCTAGAACAGTGTTTCCCTGAGGAGGCAGTTCCTTAAAGAGGATGTTAACCAGCATTCCTTGCTGCCAGGGGGGCTGTGCAGGCAGCAGGGAGCCTGGTGCTACCCTAAGGCAAGCTGTCTGAGGAAAACAGTAATTGCTAACTTGGGATAAAAGAATAAAAACTGAGAACCTATTTGTGGTGTGTGGGTTTCTCTGGAGGGTGCTGGACTGTGGAATCATGAACTAGTTTCCTGATTTATTTGAGGCAGTGGGTAATACATACAGTGCTTTCCAGCTTCCTCTCCCAGGTGGTTGCAGGCTCAAGGGACAGGGAATGCCTCATCCCTGGCTTCCCAGCCCTGCCCTGGCTCCTCTCAGAGGTGCCATCCTTGCAGCACTACCTGGGGGGGGGATGTGGGAATCCCTTGGGACCCCAAAGCACCCACCAAAGAGCAGCAAATCAGCACCTGTGGAGCTGCTGGAGTGAGTCCAGAGGAGGCCATGGAAATGCTCTGAGACCTGGAGCTCCTCTGCTCTGGAGCCAGGCTGGGACAGCTGGGGGTGTTCACCTGGAGAAGAGAAGGCTCCAGGGAGACCTGAGAGCCCCTTCCAGGGCCTAAAGGGGCTCCAAGAGAGCTGGAGAGGGACTGGGGACAAGGCATGGAGGGACAGGACAAGGGGGAATGGCTTCCCACTGACACAGGGCAAGGTTAGATGGGATACTGGGAAGAGATTCTTGGCTGTGAGGGTGGTGAGGCCCTGGCACAGGTTGCCCAGAGAAGCTGTGGCTGCCCCTGGATCCCTGGAAGTGTCCAAGGCCAGGTTGGACGGGGCTTGGAGCAACCTGGGCTGGTGGAAGGTGTCCTGCCCATGGCAGGGGGTGGAACAAGATGAACTTTAGGGTCCCTTCCAACCCAAACCATTCTGGGATTCGGCTCTGGGTGCCCAAGAGCTGTGTCCCTCCCTCCCTCGGAGCAGACAGAAGCAGCAGGCTCTTCTTGCTGAAAAATAAACATTTATTTACATCTGAAAAGAGAGTTAATGTGTAAAATGGTCTCATGGGGGGCTACATCAATCCAGGACAACTCCTGTGTGACTCCAGCATGGCACAGCCTCTTTTGTTGGTGTGCTTGAGACAGCCTCTCTGTGAGACACTGCAAGAGGCTCCCCCAGCCTGTCAGGGAAGGGGCAGGAGCTGGAGAACCTTCTGTGTCCATGTGCATGTGCTGCAGAGTCCCAGCTGCTTCCTCCAGCCTGGAGGGGCCTTTTTTGCAAGAGAAAGGAAGGAACCTGGTTAGGAACAAGTACTCGGGAGCATGTCTGTCCTGCTCCTGAGGGTAACAGCAAGGACCCAAGGTGATGGTGGTGACTGTGGCTGCTCCTGGCTCTTCCAGGAGAACACAGGACCAGGACAGGAGCTGGAAGCCAGGCACGTGCAGCCCCACTCAAATCACTCTGCCTCAGATGCCTCCCTTGCCAAGGCAGAGGTGTCAGTGCTCCTGAGCTTCCTGGGCTTCACAGGCTGCTTGGAGAGGGTGGGCTGATGCTTTGGCACCTCACAGGAAAGTGAACTCCCTGAGTCAGCCTTTTGCCAGCAAAACAGAGCGTGGCTCCTGTCTGGGCCTGCCCAGCTCTCCCCCAGCAGAGGAGGGGGTGGTTGGGCTGGATGCTGGACCTGGGATGCAGAAGGTTGGGCTTGGCTCCAGCTCCTGCAAGCTGCTACTCTCAAATCCTTCACTCCCTTGTGACTTCGAGGCTCCATCCTTGGCTCTGCCCACAGCGAGGGGGGACCTGCTGCAGAAGGGGCTTGGAGAGGAGGAACCAAGCAGTGTGTGCAGCTGAAGAGCAGCGAGGAGGAGGTGGGTGCTGGAGCCATGTTCTGTGTCCGTGATGAGGATGGAGAGAAGGTGCAGAAGCAGCACCTCACTGTGAAGAGCTTCACAAGATGACTGTGCATGTCTGGGAGCTGTCAGGGGATTGGTGAGATGGTCCTTGGGTAGGACAAGGAGGGGAGGACAGGGATGCCTGTCCTGATGTGTTGGTGCCACAGGAGGGTTTGGGCAGAGGGGCAGCAGGTCCATGCAGCAGTGCCAGGCTGAATAAAGTCTCCCATTCCCACTGCTGAGGGTCAGGCTCCCTCCAGCTGCCGTGATCCCCTCCCACATGTGCCTGGGCAGTGTGGGTGGGCAGGGGGTTCCCCTGCACACGGCTGGTGGGTGCTGGCAGGGGTTGCTGATGGTGCACAGGTGGTGGTAGGAAGCAGTTCCTGCTGCCCACGCAGCCCCCAAGCCCAGGCAAGGTGAGGCCCCCAAGGAGGCAACGATGCCTGGCAGTGTCTGGGGTGCCCATCTCCCCCTTGGACCACAGTGGGGGGATGTCCCTTCCAGCAGCTCCAGTGTGGCACAGCCAAACACTGGTCCCAGCCTGGACATCCCAGGTGGGCACTGCCCAGCACAGCTCCCCACAGCCCCCCACCCTCCAGCTGGGCCCTTGTGCCCATGGTAGACAACAGCCCCTGTGCCCTGGCTCTGCGGGCAGTCACTGCATCACTGGGCACAGCAGAGCACTGGGTAGTCGAGTTTCCAGAGCTGCCACTTCTTCTTCATCTCAGACTTCACCTGACACGGAGGGGAGAAGGGGGGCTCGTCCCTGGCCACGCCCTCCCCGCAGGCAGAGGATGGGATGGGAAAGGCAGGCAGGAGACGCTGTGGCAGGTACGTACCTCTTTGTTGGCAAAGCAGTACAGCACGGCCACCAGGAAACCCTGCAGGGAGAGCAGGGAGTGAGACCCCACTGCCATCCCTCTCCTGGGGCTGGGGTGGGCTTAGACTCCCCCCAGACCATTTCTGGGTGCTTTTAGGGCTGAGGTCCCTCTGCCACCGCTGCCCCAGAGAGCACAGGAGGCACCGGGGCAGAAGGTGAGAGAGATGGGGTCCCCACCCCATGGAGGCACCACGGGGAGAGCGAGCTGGAAGAGGCCCCCCCAGTTCTTGCTCCATTATGTGCTCAGACCAAGGACGTGTCACACTCGTGCCTCACCTGGAAGGAGTTGAGGAAGAGGGTGAAGAACACCTTGATGTAGCGCAGGATGCCCGTGGTTTGCTCGTCGGTGGCGAAGATGAAGACAACCTCATGGATACCAAAGAGAGGGATGAGGGTGAGGGTGGCTTTGGCCAGCCTGGAAGAGTGTAAAGGGATCCTAAATCTTCTAGATAAAGTCAGGGTGGTCATTTAAGGACGTGAAGGGTGGAGGAGCAGGGTGGGGATGGATGGGGAGGGGGAGGTGGATGTGGTGTTATCCCGGGACCAGGGATGAGCCAGAGTGGCCACCCCCTCCCTCCTTCCCAGCTCACCGCAGCTTGTAGTCAGCGTAGCCCTTCTGGTTGGCTCGGAGCTTGGCCAGGATCACCTTGAGGATCCGCATGAAAATGAGCAGGTTGATCTGGGGAGGGGGAGACAGTGCAGGGGCACACAGAGCCCAGCACCCCCACCCCTCACAGCCCACCCTGGCCATGATATGCACCCTCAGGGCCTGCAGCAGATGGCACATCCTGTGCTGCCAAGGCTGCTGCTGCCCTTCCTCCCTTCCTGCCATCCCAAAATCCTGACCAGGAAGCATCAGGGACCACCCTCAGTCCCTTTCTCTGGAGTTAAACACTCTCCTTCTTGCACAGAGCAATTTGCAATTTGCTGGTAAAAAATCAACCCCGTGTCCATTTCCCTGATCCTTGGAGGCCAATCCACCTTCCTGCACTCTGCTGGGAGCTTCCCCAAGGGATCACAGCCCTGCCCAGGGCTGGGAGCCAGGGGCTCAGCTGCTGTTGTCCAAAAAGGCACAGGGGTAGCAGGTGTCCCCTACCAGGGAGGCAAGCAGGATGGGGATGCGGATGATCCACCAGTAAGCCATGTTCTCATTCAGTGCCCAGCACCTGCCCAGGGAGACACGGAGAGCAGCACCATCAGCCCGTGCCAGGGGTGCAGGATGAGGCCAAGAGCTTTCCAGCCCCAGCCAGGTGGCTCAGGGACCTTGAGCAGCCTCTGTCCAGTCCCAGCCTGGGGCTGAGCATCCCCGAGGAGCCCCCACCCATCCTCACTCACTCTGCATTCTCCTTCAAGTACTTGGCAGCCATCCAGGGCACCACGAACACCACAGGGGTCCCTGCAAGTCACACAGCAAACCCTGTAAAACCAAGCACCCTCCTGAGATTAGAAACCAGTCCCAGGGCAGGGGCACCGTGGGGACACCCAGGGTCAGCAGGGCCCCCACCCCACACCCTCCCGGGGCTGGTTTGGACCATGGTGCCCCCCAGCACTGGGTACTGTGCCCTCCCCACCGCACACCCAGGTGGCCCCTACCCCAGCCCAGGTAGAGGTAGAGCCTGTAGTAATTCTTCTCGGAGAACACGGCCCCGATGAGCAGCTTGTAGAGGTAGATGGCTTCAACCAGGAACCAGTAGTGGTTGGCCAGGATGCAGTACTGCATCAGCACCTGCGCCACCCGGCACCCCAGCGCAGCCTGCCACAGGAGAGCCCCCGTGGGGCTGGCTGGGTGCCCACCCACAGCACCACGGGCACCCCGAGAGCTCACCCATGGAATGCACAGGCACCCCAAAATGTTTTCCATCAGGTGTACAGTGTTACACAGGCACCCCAGGTGCTCACCCACACGGGCACGGTACCCTCGGGCTCACCCGGAGGGTGTGTGAGCGCCTCAGAATCTCATCCATCAGGTGTATGGTCTTACAGACACCCCAAGAGCTCACCCACGGGAGCACAGGTGCCCTGAGCTCACCCAGAGGCTGTATGGGCACCCTGAGAGCTCATCCCTCAGGTGCTGCACGGGCACCCAAAGCTCTCTGAGAGCTCAGCCACTGGGTGCACCTCAAGAGCTCATCCCTCAGGAGCAGGGCACTGCACAGGCCCAGAGCTCTCTCATCAAGTGCACAGGTAGCCCAAGGGGTACCCACGGGGGCATGGGCAGCACAGGCCCCCCAGAAGCCTGTCCACTGGGTGTATGAGCACCCAAGAACTTGCCTACCCACACACACAGGTACCCCAGGACCATCACCGGGTGCATGGGCAGCACCAGCACCCCAAGAGCTCACCCACCAACATGGGGCTGCACAGACACTGACACCCCCTGCTCCCCCCTCCCCGGGGGCAGGATCCCCACCCCACCTCCAGCCCAGCATTGATCGGGGTCCCCCCCGGGGCAGCACTTGCCTCGTGGCTCAGCAGGTTCTCCCAGTCAGCCACCTGCCCCAGCTCCACGCCCCAGCGCCGCTCCAGCAGCGCGTCCTTCACCATCACCGAGGTCGCCCGCAGGCCAAAGGAGGCGAAAAGGTTGGCATGGATGTAGTTCCTGGTGCAGCGGAGGTTCCTGCCGAGTGCCAGGGGTCAGGCAGGGCACCTCTGGGCTCAGCTGCCACCAGCTAGCAGGGACCAGGGCCATGTCCCCCCAGCTCTCCCACCTGAAGACGGTGAGGACGAGCAGGGCAGAGATGAGGGTGAGGAGTGACAGCGAGTACCCCACGGTGTAGAGCACCTTGAAGCTCACCATCAGCCTGCGGGCACGCTCCTGCAGGGAGCACAGCACCCTGAGCCGGGTGGGCAGCACCTGCCGAGTGGTTGGGGTGCCTGTCCCTCCCTGGCCAGGGTGCCCTGTCCATCTCTGCCCAGTGCCAGGGCCAGGGTCCCACCTCCTCAGCGGTGACCTCCATCTCCTCCTCACACTGTGAGTAGTCCCTCCAGGGCTGGCTGCCATTCACCATCACCCACTGCCCGTCGGCACCGCACCGGCGACTCACCAGCCCGTGTTTCACTGCGGACACAAAGCACCAGCACGTTCCCCTTGGGCTCCCCCAAACCCCTCTCCTGGGATGATAGGTCAGACCCTGCTCAGCCCCAAAGACCCTCTTCCAGGGCAGGCATGAGCAGGGCATAAGCTGGCTGTGCTCTGTGCTCTGGGCCCCAAGTGTCCCCTTACTCCAGGTGTGCTTGTGGGTCTCTCTCCCCCCATCATCAGGCAGGAGGGGAACCCTGAGAGCCTCTCCCCCCCAGCACGGCTCCGCTCTGGCTCCCAGCGGTGGGATGGCAGAAGGGGATCCTCACCTTTCTCAAACCAGGGCAGGTAGAAGGGGCAGGAGACGTTCACAGCGGTGCCAGGGCTCCCGTCGGGCCAGCAGGCATACATGTCGAATGTCCGGTTGCAGAACAGCCCTTGCAATGGCAGTGAGGGGGGAAAAGCTGATTGTCAGATGCTGCTGGCACGGCCACATCCAGCCCTGCCATCCCAGCACCTCTGAGGGGGCTGGTGTCACCCTGAAGGGGCCGTGGTACCCCACACCAGCCCTGGACTCCCCTGGGCATTCCAGCCCTGGGCATCCCATCTGAGACATGGAGATCCTTGTCAGTCCTCCTGCTCATGAGGGTGACCAGCACAGAGGATGCTGGAGGAGGGATAAAGCCCAGCCCTGGCTCTGTGTGCCCTGTGTCTGATGCTGAGCTGGGCACAGCTGGGTACCTGCGGGGTAGGGCTCGCTCGCCATCCTCCTCAGACACTCGTCACGGTACCGCAGCCACTCCTCAAAGGTCTTCTCCAGCACCTTGGCCCCGCCGTGCTGCAAGTCCAGAGCTGAGTCAGAGCCTCCTGCCCCACCACCTGCATCCCCCTGGCAAACCACTGTGTGCTGCATCCTCGGGATGGGCAGGGACACAGGACAGAGCCAGGATGGAGCCTGCTGGCCGTGGGTCAGAGGCTGGCAGTGCCAACCCTGCTGCCCCGTGGCCCCAGCTCGGCCCTCACCGGCATGGAGAACAGGCACACCCAGGCGAGTTGGACAAGGCTCCCAAGGCATCCAGATCCAAGCATGTCCCTCATGGCTGCTCCTACCAGCCTGCAACCAGCGCTCCCGGTGCTGAGGTGCATCTCAGGCTGAGCTGGAGACCCGGATCCTGGGGAAGAGGTGGAGGAATGAGCATGGCTCGGCTCTGCCGGCCACCCACACCAGTGTGGAGGAGGAGATGTGCTTCTCCTCAGGAAGCAGAGAAGATCCTGGGCATGTCCTGGGCTGCCACAGCCCCGGATCACTTCCCCGCTGGAGACAAAACCTCGGGGAGTGCCAGGCAGAGTAGCCGGGCTGTAACTGGATCACACCTCTTGGATGAGCCTTGCCAGCTTCTACCCATCACTGCCGGCCCCGGGCTGCGACGGTGAAACCGCAGGGGAGCAAAAGCCACCGTGACAGCCGACGTGACAGCCCCAGTGCCACCGCTGCCACCCCAGCAGGTGGCACTGGGTGACCCGGGAAGGGGCCATGGCTCCAGGGCCAGGAGGCAGGGAGTCCTCTCCAGGGGTTCCTCGGGACACCCTTGCCCCGCTGCCGGCCAGAGGATGGGACAGCCCAAACCAGCTGCTCCCCATCCCCTCCCGCCCCGATCCTGCTCGCAGAGACCCCTCGCAGCCCAGCCGGGGGGTTCAGGGGCAGGAGGAGCACAGTCCCCCCCGGGGCTCCCCGGTCCTCCCCATCGCTCCAGGCTGGACGACCCCAGCCCGGGCCCCCGCTTCCAGCACGGACCCGCCGGTCTGTGTCCCCCTGAGGACCCCATCAGGTCCCACTCGGTGTCTGCGGGGGTCCCGATGCTCCGCCGGGGCTGCGCCGCTTTCTCCGCCCGCTTACCCGACTCCGCGGTACCGGCAGCCCGGGCAGTCCCGGTGTCACTGTATTCCCAGGATTACCGGCAGCTGGTACGGCGTTCCCGGTATTACCGACAGCACCGGTGTTCCCGGTGTTTCTGGCAGCCCTGCAGCCCCGGTGTTCCCGTTGTTCCCAGTGTTCCTGGTATTCCCGACGTTCCCGGTGTTTCTGGCAGCCCTGCAGCCCCGGCGTTCCCGTTGTTCCCGCTGTTCCCGGTATTCCCGGTATTCCCGGTGTTCCCGGTGTTACGAGCAGACCCCGCTCCGCGAGGTGAACGCGGCGGCGACCGAGCGGTGTCTGCGGCGGAGCCACCTCCTGCCAGCGCCCTGCCCCGACCGGAGGGGGAGTTTCGGGGGGGGCTTCGGGGGGTTTAGGGGGGAGTTTGGGGGCGGCACCGCCCCCGGGGGCTCGGGCCGCCCCGAGGGGATCCGCGGGGTCCCGGTGCCGCTGCCCCCGCTTAGGGGGGAGTTTGGGGGCGGCACCGCCCCCGGGGGCTCGGGCCGCCCCGAGGGGATCCGCGGGGTCCCGGTGCCGCTGCCCCCGCGCCTACGGAGCTCCGGCACCGACCCACGGAGCGCCCCGTGCATCGCACGGGAATGGGGACAGGGATCCAGGTCCAGCCCCATCCGGAGTCCCCAGCAGAATGACAGGAGAACAGGGATGGGGGTCCAGGTCCAGCCCAGCTGAGGGTTCCTATTTGCATGACATGGGGTCAGGGATGGGGGTCCAGCCCTCAAACGATGGGTCACAGGGATCAGCCCAAGGGTCCGGACTCCTCCAGTCTCCCCCAGAGCCCTGTCCTCCCCATCATGCAGCCCCAGGGAGAGTCACGGGGGTCCTTCACCTTCCAGACTTGGTGCCCCTCTGGCTGTTCCCTGGGACAGGGAACCCTGTGTTCTCCCTCACAGAGTACTGTGAGGTGCTGGCACAGTGACAGCCCCTGTGCAGGCAGGGTGGGCTGCTGGGGCCACGCTCTCCCGGGGACCAAGAGGCTCTGGGGACAATACTGGATCCAGCACAGCCCATGGGTCCCATCATCCATCCAGGGAAACCTCAAGGGCAGGGACAAGCCATGGGACAAGCCTGGTGGCGCTGGTCACATCCTGGGGAGGGAGTGGGTCTCTGCTCTGGAGACCCCCAAATACCAGCAGCCCCTCTGGGCTCCCACCTTCCCTCCAGTGCAGCCATGCTCCCCTCCACCCCTGCACGCTGGTGCTGGCCCTGCCCTGCAGCAGAACGCCACGTTCATACCTCAAAACGCCTGAATGCACCAGGAAAAATGCATTTATTTTGCAAAAATAATGCTCTTTGCCTCAAAACTGCTGCAGTGGGCTCAGAGCAGACCCATGAGTCAGATGGATGAGGAGTCACATCTGTTGCTCCAGCCATGCAAGCGTTGTCTGGTTATTCCAAGTGACAAATAACACATTTTGGAGCAGCCCAGGGTAATGATTTGCTGTTTTTGGGGAAAATAAGACCTCAGGTACCTCCCTCAGCACAAGCCAGCACTGGGGTGTTTGCTCATTAACAGATTATGGACTTGGGACAAGGGCCTGGGAAGGGGACAAAGGGGAATGGCTTCCCACTGACACAGAGCAGGGATGGGATATTGGGAAGAAATTCTTCCCTGTGAGGGTGATGAAGCACAGGTTGCCCAGAGAAGCTGTGGCTGCCCCATCCCTGGAAGTGCCCAAGGCCAGGTTGGACGGGGCTTGGAGCAACCTGGGCTAGTGGAAGGTGTCCCTGCCCATGGCAGGGGTGGAATGAGATGAGCTTTAAGGTCCCTTCCAACCCAAATCATTCCATGATTCTATGATAACATTATCCTGTGGCACCTGTGGAGGATGATTCCAGACATGTCCCCCTTCCCAGACATCCTACATCTTCACCCCAAAGAAATCCCTGTGTTCATGTTAGATGTGAATCCACCTAATACCAGCAGGAGCATGGGGTGGGCTCATCTCACAGGGATGCTGGATTTGGAGGACAGCCCAGGGCTGCAGCATGTGGGTGCAATTCCCGAGGGAGGGATCACAGTCCTCCAGACACCACCCTCCCAAACAGCACCAGGGCAGAGGGTCCATCTGGGTGGGATTTTCTCACTGGTCCTTTGAATGGGGACATGAGGAACAAGCTGTTCCTCTCCATATTGATGAACCTCAGACAGGGTCTCCATAGCGACTGCAGCACCTGCAGCTCAGCTGGGGCCAAATCCTGATCCATGGGGTGCTGCAGAGCCAGCTGTGAGTATGGGAGGGGACTGGGACATCCCTCTGTGCTCCAGGAGCTGCTCTTCTGCCAGGGTGGGTTTGGGACACAGCTGACACTGAGGAGGCACAAGTGACAAATTTATGTGTTAAAGGTGTAGGGTTCATCACTGGAGTTGGGAAAATCACCCCAGAATGGTCTCATGCATTGAAGGTGTTGGTGCCTCTTAGGCAACTTGAGAGCTGCAGGGGTGCTCAGGGAGGGAAGAGCATCTTCCAGGGTCCTCCAGCATGGAATCATGGAATTGTTTAGGTTGGAAAAGCCCTCTAAGGTCATCGAGTCCAACTGTTAACTCAGCAGTGCCAAGGCCACCACTAAACCAAGTGCCACATCTACTTGTTTTTTGAACACTTCCAGGGATGGGGACCCCACCACTGCTCTGGCGAGCCTGTGCCAGTGCCTGACCACCTTTTCAGTGAAGAAATTTTCCTAAATATCCAATCTAAACCTTTCCTGGCACAATTTGAGGCTGTTTTCTCTGGTCCTGTCGCCTGTTACCTGGGAGAAAAGTCAGTGTCACCATGGGCTAGACATTGAACCAGACAACCCCACGGGGCTGAATCCCTTCCTCGAAGGACCATTACTAGCAGAAACACCTCCTGAAGGCAGATTTCACTTTATCTATCCATTATTAATGGGGAAATCCATCCGTGAGTATTATTGCAGGCTCTGCTAATCAAGCTGCTTTTCTCCCCGTGCAGAAGCAATTCGCAGAACGGAAACGCTCATCAACACATCCTGACCTGCAATTATCCAGTGAACTTCTCAGAAAAGCCTGTCTGAGCAGTTACCAGGTAGAGAAATCCATCAGCATGTGAATGCCCCGGAACCAGCGTGAGGAGGGGCAGGGCTCAGCGCCGCTGATCGATTCAGCAACACTTTCTGATCCACCGGGAGGCTGCTGGGAGGTCAAGGGCACCAAAGACTTGTGGAGATGCTAAAAAACGAAGTGTTTTTAGTATATTTAATATCAGCAGATGGTGCTGTTTAAGGTTACTGCAAAAGTGCAGCCTGATGAGATGCAGACCCACGGGAGCACGGAGCTGTTTGCCCTGGGATTTCCTCTTTTTGGAAGCTGCTCCCTGCAACTCAGAAAAATCTGTTTCCTGCTTGAACCTCTCTGATGCAGGAGAAAAATGACCCCGAGCTGTGCCCAGCCACAAAGTGCTTCCTATTTCTGCAGGGCAGAGAGTTGGGAAGAGTCTCTCTCCTGAGACAGAGCGACAGTGACATCACCTTCTGGGGGACACTGAGTCACTCCAGCATCATTGTGGGGCTGGAGCACCCCAATTCACCTCCAGATTTCTGCTTTGAGGTTATTCCTGTAAAGACCATGAGGAATGTAATGCTGAGTGTTCCATTATGGGACTGAGCATCTGTCTGATGACCACAATATGATTATAAAGTCAACCTGTCATGACAATGTCAGCATAGCCAGAAACCAGGCAAACACTGCTGCCAGCCTACCCAATATGACCAGTTAGATTTTGTAGGGAATCAGCTGCTTGGACATTTATTCCCAAAAAATGTTGGTTTTTAGGAGATACTGAGGGACAAAGGGCTTCAGAGGGACAGAGAGAGATGCTGTTTTGAGTCAAAAAAGAAAAAGCTTGCAAGTCACGTCCCAGGAGGTGCCTTGGAGGGTGGCCCCAGCCAGCACCTTGCAGGGATTGTACAAGACCTAGAGCTCTGAGCTTGGGGTTTTGCACAATGTTTGCAGGATAGGAGCATCCATTTCCATTCCATTTCCATTCCATTTCCATCCTGTTTCCATCCCCTCAGGGGAGGACAGCCAGGGACCCCACTCCATCACACTGCTCCATAGCAAAGGTCACTTCCAAGCTGCTGTTCCCACACTCCTGGATCAATGACTGTTCCCAGCTCATAATGGCACACTGGATTTGGCACTGACTCAGAGGCAGCTGCTGTCCCTCCAGTGAGCCCCTGGGCACGAGGGCTGTGAGTCTGCATTCAAAGTCTCTTTGGTTTCCATTGGGGAATTCTCACCTAATTCAAGCTGGAAGGCTTAAATGATAAGATCAAGAGCTTCTCTGAACATCATCTATATTCACATCCTGCCCCAGGGCTGGACTCTTTGTACCCATACTCTGCTGGAGGGCACAGCTTCCCCTCTTCCATATGTAAAGCCTTGGCAGGCAGTACAGCATCCATATAACCCCGGGACCTGGAATTCAAGGGCAAATAAAGGGATGCATCTTTTATGTCCTCCCTGCCTATGAGGAGCCTGGTTGAAACTTCTTCTGTTACCACCTATTTAAGAAGATTTTGGCTTTATCTGTATCCAGCTCTGGGGCCCCCAGCACAAGAAAAACCTGGCTGGAGCTGCTGGCATGAGTCCAGAGGAGGCCAAGGAGATATTCCAAGGGCTGGAGCCCCTCTGCTCTGGAGCCAGGCTGGGAGAGCTGGGGGGGTTCACCTGGAGAAGAGAAGGCTCCAGGGAGACCTGAGAGCCCCTTCCAGGGCCTAAAGGGGCTCCAGGAGAGCTGGAGAGGGACTGGGGACAAGGGATGGAGGGATAGGCCAAGGGGGAATGGCTTCCCACTGCCAGAGGGCAGGGTTAGATGGGATATTGGGGAGAAATTCTTGGCTGTGATGGTGGTGAGGCCCTGGCACAGGTTGCCCAGAGAAGCTGTGGCTGCCCCTGGATCCCTGGAAGTGTCCAAGGCCAGGTTGGACGGGGCTTGGAGCAACCTGGGACAGTGGAAGGTGTCCCTGCCCATGGCAGGGGGTGGGACTGGATGATCTTTAAGGTCCCTTCCAGCCCAAACCAGTCTGGGATTTGGTGATCTATCCATTGCCTGTCTTTTTTCCTGCCCAGACTGGCT